TAATGCTCTTTTCACTGCTTAAGAATGTATTCGTAGCTTAACAATCCATATAAATAAATAAAATCTTTCACTACATGTTCAAAGATCTATATATTTTTGAAGGTCTTGATAATACAAGATTCGATGATTTCGAACAAAGTATGTATGCATTCATCGGTATTAATATCACAGACAAATTGCTTTCATTTAGAATTTGACCTTTAATGTCTGCTTTTTTTCCTTCACGTTCCCAGTGGGACATAGGGCTTCAAGCTAGAGGCTTAAAGTTTCTGTAGCAGTGTTTACTTTTACAGGATGAGGTTGCGAGTCTCATGCCCAACCTTTCCTCTTTATCAGCTTTTTGTTACTGTTTTGGCGAGGTAAAGAATTGCGTAGGTCGGGAATCGAATCCCGGACCATGTGCATGGCCGACGAGCGACCTAATCACTGTGCCACCGATGCACATGTCTAATGTTAGTAGCCTTTAAATATAAAGAAATTTATCTTCCTCGTAAATCATCACTCAAACAGCTTATGATTAAACTTTAGAGGATAATTTCATAGATGGGCCATAATCACATATATAGGAATCCTATAGTTAGAAATTTTATCTGAACAATATTACTTGTCATAGCCTCATTTTTTAAAACCTAGCAGAAGAATTATGCATAATATGCTGTTTCTAGTACTATGTTCCTCTAGGAACTAAAGGAAATAATAATAATAATAGTACTATCACCAAGTGTTAAGATGAATCAGTCTTTCGTTTTAATTTTCCTGATATCTAACAATAAAAGTTTTATCGCATCACGGATTTGCACTCTGTTACACAATGTAATACTGAGTAGTTGGTCGAAAATCCATACCGACCTCTTTAGCAAGCATTAATTAGGATAAGTATGAAGTTCCCGGATAACTGATTCAGTGACCATATTTTCGGAGAAAAGATTCATCTAGGAACTGTCTGTCTGTCTGTTTTCGACATAGAACTTTGCACATATGTGCAGTAGCTAAAGGCGCCACATTCCATGTTGCACACAAAGCAAGAGAAGAAAGTAGGAGAAATGCATAATATAGACAGTAAACAGAGGTGTGAGACAAAGGTATAGTAATAACGAAGAACAAAATAGTTTCATTGGAAATCATAAGTCACAAGGAGTGGATGCATCTGCGCCATGAATGAGAACGATTTTGAGCCATGTGACCTATTGTTTCTAACCATTGGTTTTTACCGTCCCGAGGACCCCAACCAGGAAGTCTACATCTCCCTACGTGGCTTAGACTAACTGTTGTGGATTTCATTGACTGGCGAGTCCATTTTTTCGTTTGACCGCATCTAGCTCTTTTCCAACCTGGCCCTATATCAGCTAACATTGCCCGTCGAGGAAGGCTATGACTAGGCAAACGTAGAACATGTCCTAACCATCTCAGTCGATGTAATTTCACAGTCTCGTCGACTGATTTCCCCGCCTTACCTAGCACTCGGCGCCTAACCTCAATATTGCTCACCTTATTATACCACTTCACACGGGAGATAGAATGCAGACACCTATGATCAAAGACAACTAATCTTTTCATGTCTTCCGCTCTCAATGGCCAGGTCTCACAGTCATAAAGGAGGACGGAGCGGACTGCTGAACAGTACACACGTCCTTTGATCAACAGCCGGATATCACGTTTACGCCAGAGACGGCGTAAACTGGCATATGCGAAACTAGCCCTCTGTATTCGTGCTGAGATTTCGTCGGAGATCAACTGGTTGGGGCTGATGATACTTCCCAAGTAAGTGAAGCGGTCAACGTGCTCTACCACTTCACTTCCTATTTCTAATCTAGGAGTCGGTGAAGTCCAATCCTGCAGCATTATCTTACATTTTACAGGGGCGAATCGCATGCCAAACATACGAAGATTGTTGCTCAAGGTGTTCAGTAGACTCTGCATTTTGTCAGCGTCCTCGCCTAGAAGGACTATATCGTCTGCATATTCTAAGTCGACGAGATTATTACCTGGTAGCAAGTCAATCCCTGAGTCTCTGAAGTGAGTTTGGGTTAAGTCCATTAGTACATCTACGATGAAGTTGAATAGAAATGGGGATAATGGGCATCCTTGACGGACGCCACTAGTCGTCACCCAATATCTGAATTATCTGTCTCACTTTAAAATAAACCCAATCAAAAAAACAAATCACGCAAAGAAATATATTCCTTTACAATTAATTCCTCAACAACGGTTCTACAGTAACGTTTAGTTTCACAGTAAACTTATACCAATAGTCTGGCGTTGTTAATCAATAAAGTGTGTGGGGGTGAGAATAATTACAGGATACAAATGAGTTAGTTTATAGAGGTTAGCTGCAAGTTATTACATAATCGATTATTTTTAAAATAATGATGACTAAGAATAGTAGTTGAATGAATCGCGTAAGAATATTGAGGTACTACTAAGTTAACAATGTCAAACGGTAGTCCTAAGGATAGTGGAAAAATCATTTGTAAGACTCTATACATATTGTGTGGACAACTACGGCAAACACAGGGGCTGCATGAATTTCTTTTGAAGAGAGACTTTGTTTGTTCTGATGAATTGTAATTGCCTCTGCTGTATGTAAAAGTCGATCACGTACAGGATGTGAAAGCTTGGGTGAAATATGATAAATAACCTTAAACGCTCTGTTAGAGCCAACTTGATATCCTGCATCGACGAGATGAGCTACTTATCGCTTTATTCGGTTCTTTGCTAAACCAAGATGGATGGTGTTCTGAAACTCGACGATGGAATTGCCTAGTCATACGCCCGATGTATCTAGCTCCAAAAGGGCAGTTAGACTGGCAGGCAAAGTTAAGTAGTTTGTCTTCATTGGTTGGTTGGGAACGTACACTTCCATAAATTTCACAGATCAACAGTGAATAGTTTCACATCTTAGTTTGATAAACTGTCATTTCCCTATTACTACAGATAATTTTTAATGCAAAGTAAGATAAGAACTGCTTTTGTAAATGTAAGTCGCATGTGCGAACCGTACTCATATAACTGTTCACCACCTTTTTGTAATTATTTTATAGCCTACTATTTGAAATTGGTTCGAATCTTTACTTACCAGTCAAAAATGTTGCTAATGGTAGCTCTCCTTTACATAAACATTTCCGAGTGTCACTTTGGTGGAAATAATTATTTACTTCTACAGTCTTTGGCGAATACATTCAAGATGTTGGTAAATCTTTTCATGCAGAAGTTTGAAGTAAATTTCATGATCAGTAAGAAGGCAACTGATAACAGCCAACTTAACGAAATAACTGTCACTGTGATTATGTTACATGAGATCAGCGTGAATGATTGTAATGCAACATTCACTAGTATTATAAAAGCTAGAAAACAAGAGGAGTGGATATCAAATCGCCCGACGAATTCTGTGACGAGATTATTGTTAAACGGACACTCTTACAATGAGGCACGAACAGTAGTACTTCTACCCTTTACGCCACAAGTTTGGCAACTTCAGCTAAGAACATATTCCAACAAAAGTCGCCTTCTAAAGTAGAAGCCGAATATGATGATATACCCCCGTTCCAACTTAAATTTCCATGCACAAATAAAAAGACTGAATCAAGCAAACAATATATGACAGTAAGGCTAACAAGCTGATAGTACTACTCACCAACTACGGCAGTGAAACAGAAATTACTCCCTAACAGAAGCCGCAATGAATTCGAATCACGTAATGACCGAAAACATCAAAAGTAAACAAAAAGACAGAAAGATTATTAGCTTCAACTGAACTGTTTGTACTGTTATCATTTTTAATACTTGGGCCAAATTTTGAATACATTCACATGCATATCGGAAATGGCAGAGAAACAAATCTGAATATTATGTTAATGTCAAATCTGCAGATACAAACGAACAATAGGCAGCCAATGTTACCTTTACGTAGTTTATTATCAGAGTAAGAAACTCCACTACTACTCAGTTATACAAGCTACACGCAAATATTACTCCCCTTATTGATATCCTGATTGCAGTAGATTGGATAATGCGACAGACAGCGGGCAGCGAGGAAACAGGCATAAAATGGACCCACACAAAAAACCTAGAGGATCTGGACTTCACCGATGATATATGTCTGATTTCCCACAAACTGGAAGATATGCAAGTGAAAAGCAACAAGTTGGCAGAAGAAGCACCAAAGATAGGACTCCAAGTAAACATAGAGAAAACAGAAGTGATGAAGATTCCTGGGCAACACCAACAGACAACAATCAGCATAAATGGGAAGAACCTGGAAGAAACAACCTCCTTTACCTACCTGGGAAGCATCGTTTCAACTACAGGCGGAACTGATGAGAATATCAAAGCAAGGATCGGGAAAGCAAGGCAAGCTTTCATTTCTCTCAAGTCTGTGTGGAGGTCAACAGCACTCAGCATCAAAAATAAGATCCGGATTTTCAACTCCAATGTAAGGTCAGTGCTACTATACGGATCAGAGACTTGGTGCGTGATGAAGAGTACCTCAAACAAACTACAGACCTTCATCAACAGCTATCTTCGCTCAATACCACTCAAGATCAGATGGCCAGAAAAGATCAGCAACAGAGATCTCTGGGAGCGAACCAACCAGGAACCGATTGTGCAACAAATAAGAAGGAAGAAATGGAGATGGATTGGCCATACTCTGAGGAAACCATCAAGTGACATCACTAGACAAGCCATTGCTCGAGTGGAACCCACCGAAAGGGAAGCGGCGAGTTGGTCGTCCAAGAGTGACTTGGAGGAGGTCATGTGAAGAGGAGATGAAAGCATGTGGGCAGACGTGGAGCCAGGTGAAAACTCTAGCAGAGAACCGAACGCAATGGAGACGTTTGGCTGAAGCCCTATGTTCCTCTAGGAATTAAAGGAAATAATAATAATATTGATATCCATGATATTATTTAAAAACTGCGCAGTTTAAAAAAAAACTATCATGACATAAAGTATTAGGAAAACATTTTAACCTTCATTTTGAACTCAATGATGATTAGATCGACGTGTTTGACACTTATTTTCATACTAATTCACACAAACTAAAGAAGTGTGGTTTTCAAATACACTTTTGGGAATATCGCTAGAGAATTATTGATCAATTAAGTATGATATTCACATCGGTACTTGTACCTGGAAGTGAAAATCATTAACTACAGTACTCACTTATTAAGGAATAATTGAAAGAGACACATCACACAAAGTAAAAGAAAACAACCTACTTACAGTCTGAGAAAGTATAGAATGTATTGTTGTTTTTTCCAAAGGAAGACAGCTAAAATCTAAAAGCAATTAACTTGGACAGTTTTCTAAAACGATGAAATCAAAAGTTGGCATAACACAGAAATGACACCAACTTATTTACTGCATAACAGTAAATCAGTCCAAAATGGTAGACAACGAACTTTACTCAAATAGCGGTAAGTAGGATGAAATTTAGATATAAAATATAAAAGACCACTGGAAGTGTTTTGAACACGTTCTGAGGAGAGAAAATCCTCATTTACGGTAATCGAATAAGTACAAATATGTTTGCATATATAACCGAGATGAAAACAAAAGCCCATGCTGAAGAACTATCAAGATTAGTGCTATTGTATACACAAACATGTTCTTATATACATAGTTACGACTGAGGGATATGAAAAAAAGAATAAGGCTACTGTTAAATGTTACAATGAATTATGATTAGTCTATTGAAATAAAAACCCAGATTTCGATGATACTCCTCCTCCTCCTCCACTAGAAGATTCCGTAGTGTTAGACTCAGAAGATGACAGAGTGTGATTAGAGCCAAATAAACTGAAAATCCCACTTCCACCACTGCCGGAAGAGCTTCCTGGTCCAGATGACTGATCATTCTGCTGATCTGGAACACCTTCTGGTGGAGGTTCTAAAATGAAATGCAGAAAAGTGATTTTTTAACATTAGTAAATTTGAAAGAGATGTCGTCAGTAAGCAAATAGTAATAATACAGAGTTTAAAGAAAAGCTAGGGAGACTAAAATGTCTACTGGAAAAATTCTGAAACACAATTCTTACACGCAAACTGCTGTTTACAATTCTTCCTAACCTTTACCAGTAATCCCCTGGCCTTAGATTCAGCATGTTTTCAAAATGACTTACCTACAGTTAAGAGGTTGAAGATAAATCAGTGACCCACCCCCAAATAGGTATTTCAAACATTATGTGATTATAAGTAAAGTAGCAAAAATGGAGCAATAAATATTATTAACAGTTGTCAGCTTATAGGTAGATATGAAGAGCATAAGAGAAATATAAGAAAAAATGTGAAAAAGTTAAGAGGATTAAATTAATGCTGAAATCTACCTCAATATCAATCATATGCCTATAAACTAGCACCTGTTAAACACGATTATAAAGTCAAGAATTTCTAATGGATTGGACAAGAAGAGTCCTAAAAAGATAATACCACCTTAAAAAGGAATTATTATACTTATAAACAACACTGAAAAACCTAGATTCCTACCTACAAAAGCATCACTTTAACTTGTCAAACTACAAAGCTGTCGGCTGTACAGAAAGTAGTATACTGGTGTGCGTTTCAGTGAGAATCGTTAATCATCTGAACAAAACAACCTACTATCGCCATTATGTTAGCTACACACATTTCGACAGTAGTAGCTTTTAATGTTTACACAATATTATTCATTCTTTTAACCCAGTATACGTTGTTGGATCATTATCACAATTACTCTTGACAACTATGTTATGGTAACAACTCTCAATCGAGTAAGCGAAGACAACTCCACTTTGCACAGCTCTGAACAGTAAGCAGACCTCCTTCCACAGACCAGTTGACCACATGTTGATATCTAGAAAAATGTTATGTTGATCTTTTATTAATATAGCTGCTGAGAAACATCATTCTCTCCAAAGGCCTCCAAAGCCTCAGGATGGTCGGGGGTGGGTGCCTTGCGCTGCGGGTTAGCCACCCCTCCGCACACCTCTTGAAATGCTCCCATATGACCGGGCGTCTTACATAGCCTCTCCTGAGGAAGTCCTACTCACTGCCTTCACGTGGCGGAGGTGTTTTTAACCAAAGTGAGAGGGCGAAAGCGGATGCCCGGCGCTCTTCACCGGGTTGACTGTCCATTGGATGACAGTCTAGGGGAGATGGCTAAACCCTGATTCCAAACCTCCAACGACTGGCGTATGAAGCTCACTGGAGCTCACCGGCAGACGTATGGACAAAGGGCTTGTTGGATGTCCTGGATGTCTGACCCCATTCAAAAAGGCATATGAACCGAACTCCGATCACCGGCTGCCAATGGATAGTGGACTGACTCCCTACTCCACTCCTACTGCCTTGTAGGTCACACTTGGTTGTGTAAAGGCTAGAGCTGCACTCTCAAACAAAAGGCCGAGCGATTCTGGGGACATCACTCGTACCAAATTCCCATGAACCTTCATGAACTCTCAGTACAGTCAAGGCTGATATGGAGTGCCTGGGGCTACAAACCGTCTACGAAATCCGTCTGTGGAACAATAATTGGATAACCCTGTCGCAAAACCTTACATCAGATCGCCGCGCCTGGGCAGCGATGTTTCGAGATGTTCATGAAGCCGGCTCATCCTCCCGTAGGAGATAGCCGTAGTGAATTAAAAATTGTTAAAATTCTCTCCAAAGTGGTCAGCAAAAACTTACTGATCATCATCTAAGTTTTGATTGCCGTCTTGGAGTTTTAAGCGCTAAGTAAAACTTTTATTAAACTCCATAGGCCTGTACCGGAAATGGTTCATGCCAGTCAAAGAAAATCAACACCTTTATACGACCAAAATGTTTTCCCACCTGATAAACTGACATTGGAGACGATAAGCAGAAATTCCAACACACATTATAGATAAGATTTTATTTCGATAAATCACACAGTGTTATACAGTAATATTAACTGACGACGTTTTCAGCACAAACTATTGCTCATAATCATATCAATAGTTTGTGCTCGAAAATTCATCAGTTAATATTACTGTATAACACTGTGTGATTTATCAAAATAAAATCTTATCTACCACAGTGCCCAAGTTTTATACTTATATCAAGAAAGTTCAGCAGTAAGGTCTCTCACTGTAGCGTTAGGTGACGCGGATTTGAACCTCCGGAAAAGCACTAGTTATTTTGCGGTTGCAGATACACCTTACTGATGAGTGCCAAAAAGCAGGAAACCTAGGTCCTGAGATTCTTGAAGATCACCTTCAAATTATCTAACATCCATCTAAAGTGCATCATAATGGCTAGTCACCTCTACATTAGTGACTTCATTAGAAACCTGGATTAAGTAGTGACGATTTCTCAGTCAAATCCATTTCGTAGTTTATAATCATGTATTCATGATATCTTGACTACGAAATAGAAGTAAAAAAAAGTTATCTTTACTTAATCTATAAATGAATATGCTCCGTTGAAATTACAACTCCATTATGCACATCCCATTTACAACCTAAAATCACACAATGGGATATTTATTGAAAAATGAATTTTCAAAAAAATATATTTCTTGTCTTCTTTACAAACCTAGAAAAATCATCTACAAATTATCAGAAGACTGGTGTGACAGAATAAAAACACAGAAACAAGCTGTTGCTTAGATTGTCGGTAATAAAATCAGCCAAATGCCAATTCAAGTTTAACACAATCAAAATTTCATAAAGTTTGACATAACAAATTATAGAGCTTCATTTTTCTCGCCCCTCCCTCCCTCTCCTCCTCCTCTAAAGATAACAAAGAAGGAGACGAAATCAAACAACTTACATCATCCCCATCAACATTCTTGATTCCAGTTAACAGGATTTATGCACAATACATAACTACTTTTAACAATGCATATGTATATATATATATATAAACGTTCTTCGAAGTTAAACTTTGGTTAAGGTTTGAAAGCAGCTAGCAGCTGTCTTATTTTGTTTTTTTTTCTTCTCTGATTATCTTTTGTTCGGATAAAGAAAACAACCGAGAACAAAAGAAGAGGACAATAATATCTTGTACTTGTCGTTTTATAAGTGGCACGCAGACATTATTACAATAATATTAATAATAAATCTGTAGCACTGTACTGTAAAATAAACAACTAAGTAACGCATAACATTGAAACAGATAAAGAAACAAAAAATAACTTAGAGGAAAAGAAGGCAGGAAAAATGAATAACTCTAATTCAGCTAAACAAAAAAACCCTGGTTGAAGTGAAGTTTTACTAGCTGCGAGTAAATGACATTCAGAAAATTACGATATTATGAGATGAAAACACACAAGACAGCCAATATAACAAAAATCACTATCATAAAGTGATCAACTAACTACAAATCTGTTGGTAATTATAGTATTTATATGTATATGTAAGAAAGTTGTTAAATATTTTAAGATATTGATCACTGAATATGCTTGACAAAAATAAAAAGGAATGAAATGAGAAAAGAAGTGGGAATCAAAAAAGGATGAAGAAAATGTATGTGACTATTACGTGAAGTTGATGAAGAAAATTACGGCAATTATATCTGAGAAAAAGACTAAGGATACAGAAATGAAAGTGTTAAACGTTTAAATGCAAATAAAAGTGGTCGAATCCGAAGACGCATTATTCACCTTCAACGAGATTTTAATGTGGATTGTACATTTATCAGTATGTTTGTATAATTAGTGTAAACAACAACTCTGAATAAAGTTCTATTATCGACTGTACACTTATTGAATGACGTTTCAAACACAGTCAATTGCGATTATGAACAGTAAATTGTGTTCAAAACGTCATCCACTAGTAATTAATACTGTTTGATTTTGTGATGTATGCAATAAACAAATTTATGTAGAAATACATACTGGCACGGCGCCCAAGTTCTAAATATATGGGAAAAACTTTATTTTTTATACACAGCTCATCAAGAATGACAGCACCAAAGCAAGATTGTATCACTTCGACTTGCTTAGTAAGCATTACTGATTTATGTGAGTCATATTCAACCATTTATATCAATCAATCAGCAGTACACAGCACCATGCACAGTACTCTTTCTTTTGACTGCCATTTATAATATTAAGCAGAATCTGAACAATTTCGGTTGCCAAAGGAAACTGCGCTCAATGTTCACCTCGAACTAAGTAAATTGCACGTGGCTAATTAATTTGCAAATTTCGAATTTCATCCAAAACAAGTTTTACATACTTGTAAGACACACAAATCAGGTGAACGGAACTACTTGCCTACGACCAGCACTAAAATTCTTCAAAAGATTTTAAACTAAAAACGGCAGTTTATATTCGAAGTTACACAAAGTTACAAAAAGTTAGTTTCCACATTTGCAAAATGTCGGATTTTTGCAAGTACTACTATTGTAGATTGAGATTTGCACACTGGAACTACTCATTAACTTATCTAACACTTAAAAAGTTATCCAATTCATGATAAGCGAACACTTTTTAATGATGCAGTACTGAGCAGTCACTCCTGTTACATTGCATTATGAAGCAGATATCCCAATTCGTAAACTTGCGAAAACAAAGAAATACAGAGAAACAAAATTTTCATAATTACACTTACGCATTAACATAGGAGCGTATCTATTCATCATTATTCCTAGACCTTCAATGATTGCCAGTATTACACCACCAACTACTGCTTGACCAACCATAGCTGCCGGTCCATGACGAATAGCTAGAACAGCTCCAGTTATTGCCCCACTGGTGATTGAATTCCATGGATCCTCTTTTTGGCGAGCGAAAACCAAAGTGCAATCAACTGCAGTAAAAGTACCACCCCAAATAGCGAAAGCTCCTCCCACTAGTGGTGCACGCTGACGGCTGTTAACCATTGCGCTGACTAGTTTCTTGGTATATCCAGAAGGGGCATTACGATAACCTTTGTAAGAATGTACAATGCTACCACCAATTGTGCCCATAGCAAACGCCGCTCCACAATCACTAACAATACGAAATGGACTGAAAGAGATTTTAATAAAAGATTTGAGTATTTCGGTTACTAGTACTCCCAACAGTAAAAATATTACAATGCATTCAAGTGTACTGATAAGAAAATTTATTTCATGAGTCATTGCTAATATGAACATCCTAAGGTGACTATAAGAGATTTCAACCGCCACACAGTTGAATACAGTGCTATCATCAAACAGGATTCACAATAATAATACAGATTATCGCTACACGTGATACTGAATGGTGAAGTTGGAAATACAACACAAAAACGAGAAATTCCAAAATAATGATTGAACTACTTATAACGGGTTAAGTAGCATGAATTGAAATAGGACCTTGGCATCCAACTAAGATGTCGTTTCAGAAGCGTACTCTCAGTTAACAACTGGATTGTGATAACAAGTTTTAAAGGGAGCATCAAATAGCCTAAATTAAAAATGAGTGGTAGGGAACTGGAATGAACTGGATTTTCAACGTAGAACAATGTACCAAACTGCAACAATTTAAGATGTCACACATTACTCATTATACATAAAGGTAGTGAAAATGAAAACATGAAAACAAACTATAATAAACGGAAATTTATGGTAGGAAGCATCACAGGGAGAAAAACACAGATTTAATGCGTCTGTAAAATCACAAAGACTGAATACATTAGTGCCATTGAAAAACATTTTGTAATTGTGCATACGATGAGCCACCTTAACAATTGACGACGCTACTACTTTGTTTCACTTCGCCAGTTTCTATGTACCGTGAAAAAATTATTACAATATTATTTCGACAAAACCACTGCTACAAAATAGGACGTAAGAAAAATCGACTACTCCACAATTATTTGGTTGGGAGCCGAAAATCTTTAATAATCATGATTACATGAATGAATTCTTCATCAGTCATATAACTACAGAAGCACACATTTCAGATACTCAAGTTAATGGAAATTTAACACCTTATCTATTAAATTAACTTCCTTAATTAGGAATACTTATAAAGAATCTGTGGTCCCGATAAATGTGACCGACATCTCAAATTTAATGATGATTGATATCTGACTCCTACTGGTGTAGATCAGCACAGATTATATCTCCTAAGAACAACTGACGTGATAGAATACACCAACTTCCCCTCAAAGTGTCCAGAAACCCCGTATTCTTCAGGGTCTTTACCTACGAGGGCAACATTTTCTGCATACCTTCGACTATGCAACACTAGCTAAACAGCAAGTAACTTGCTGAGTAGTTACATCAGCCATCACGTTTATCAATAGATTCACAAAACAACTGAATAAGAATAACGACAATATGTGACGCTGGAAAACATCTATGGCTCCACAACATAACTGGATCTGGGTAGTGCCAAACTAGATTTTATCCGATTGAGAGACTGATGGCAACATAAATGGCATTACAATCTTCAAATGCAGCTCAATTGACTGCAGTCTGAATGTAAAACGTTTCGCATCCACAGCTGAAAGCCCACAACACGCATCGTAATAATCATCAGAAGCATTTAGGTCCAGATTCAGAAAACAACAATTTAAGCTAGGTGAAGGTTTGGCAAAGAAATCACCAACATGCTAATTTGCATCCTCTATTCAGTCTAAAGAGATTGCCTTGCAGTCAATTACGGATGAGGTGGGTTTGTAACAATTTCAAGTTTGCCATGCAGTGTCCACTTCGATTGAAATCATCTTTATCCATGTGCTCAGCTTATTTGCTTTTACATAATCAGCATGCAAGCAAGTAAAGATGAGGTAACTGACTGCAAGTAATACTACAACGCTACAGTCAGACTGATCTCTTATTGGACAGTTCCATGGATCCAATAGCTTCAGTTCCCAAAACTGGGTAGTATCATCAATCCCCACACATTGTGTGACTTACAGCCTGAAATATAAACCTGCATTAGTTTACCGTGCTTACTAACTAACCACTACAATAAGACTTATAAAGATGGAGAAGAATCAGAGAAAACGTATTTTAAATCACAGGGTGCAGTAAGTACGTTTATATCTATGCGACCAATTCATGGAAGATTTTTAAACACTTACCACTGAGATGAGGCACACTTGCTTAAAAACTCAACATTTAGCCAGCAATCCGCTCTACTGAGTAGTATCGCCAGCCACAACAAGGTATGTGAGGTTCAGCCTGACACACGGAAAACACGCCCCAGGTAACTGGTTTTTTAGTACCGATGATCTAAATCAGGCAGCCTGGACTTGTCTGTGAGACTCAAATCAGTGGTCAACAATCTCGGGGAAAGAGAACACGTCCTAGTCTAGTCATTAAGAGCTCTTTTTCAGTCTAGTCCTAATTTCGCTGACAGCACACCATGAGCAATCATACTACCGTTTGCGGCCTAAGGAGATTTACAATCTTTTCGAATGAGTGATCCCTTTCATCTTTTAGACTACACCGTATCCCAAATTCTTCATGTGATTAATCCACTACAAAAGGAGATGCTACAAATATGACGATGACTAGATAACTGAAGTCTTCGCAGATTCTTTACATCAAGTGGATATCTCCTATTGTATATTCCTGCATATTACACACCACCCCTACTAGGAATCCGCATATCACGCATGAAACAAAAGCGATGTATTTTAATGAATTGAAGCAAGTCATTTAGATGGTTTACTATTTATCACGAGTAAACCAAATTCCTGACTGACTAACTAGTTTCAATGTGGAACTTTGCTCAGATGTGCAGCAGTTCCACTTGCAACTCTTCATGCAGCACACAAAGTACGAAAAGAGAGTACAGAGAGATTCGAAAGAGATAATAAATAGAAGTGTGAGGTAAAAAGAATAGTACTATGGAAGAACAGTAGAATTTTATTGGATATGAAAAATCAAAAAGAGTGAATGCATCTGCGCGAACCATTGACAACGACATTGAGCCACTGGTTCTTACGATCGCAGCGATCCCAACCAGGATGCCAGTCTACATCTCCCCACGTGACTGGCTTAAACTAACTGTTGTGCATTTCATTAACTAATGAAGCCATGTTTTGGATTGACCACCACTAGCTCTCTCTTTTCTAACCTAATCCATCTTATGTCAGCTAACATCACCCATCGAGGAAAGCGATGGCTAGTCACGCATAACACATGTGCTAACCATCTCAATCGGTGTAACTTCACAACCTCATCGATTCATTTTTCCTCCTTACCTAGCACTTGACGCCTGCTGCCCACCTTACTATACCACTTAATACGGGAGACAGGACGCAGACACATATGATCAAAGACAGACATTAACACTCAGTCAATCGTTATCACCATAAGACCTGGAACTATGACATAACGGTTCAAGTTGACACACTATAAATAGACACATTCAGCGAAAACCAATAAAATTTGAAACGTCCGGATAATACAAAAACAAAGCTGAGGGGAGTGAAGCAAATAAGGACGTGACATTACCTAAACATAAGATATGAGCGCACTTTGGACACCGTAACATATTGTCAGAAAAATAACTTAGTGTTCCCAAATCCAAGTTCCAGTTGTTACGTGGACCTCACATTCCCCTACATAACTCAAGCCGACAACCATTGACTTCAGATTCAGATTATAAGGATAGAAGGCTCTTGTTGCCTATGTTAATCCTCGCGATATATATCTCTGCAGAGATCCAGTTTCTCTTTGAAAATGTTCACCGATGGAGCTGTTACTACTGAATCAGGTAAGGAGTTCCAGTCGTTGACCACTCTGTGAGAGAATCTAAACTCCAAACGTATTTTATTCGACCTCGGTTTTAGCACCCTCTTCACAAATGAGTACCAAATCTTCATTTGACTAACTGTACTTGGCTATTCAGAAACAGTGAGTCTACATGTGAGTTATTCAAAACTATTGCTAATCATCTTATTAAGGTGTTTATTTAATGAACCGGTCATTAAATAATATCAACTTCTCATACAACTCACCAAAGATAAGCAGATCTCCATGAACACTAGTAAAATGAATGGTCAACATTGAAAGCTATGGTTCTCTGAAGAACCTACAGTGAGAATTAGAGTGCAGAATCTTCAGTGAAACTAATATATTAGGCATTCCCTTCAATCCCGACCGAAAGCTGCTACCTTGACGTGGTGGTCGGGCTTGCATATCGCAGTGACCCAACGAGCTATACTGGCTGGAACTTAAGTTCCTGTAGGTCCTACCATGCCAGAAAGGTTGTTTGGATAGCGGTTAGACTAAAAGCAGTTACCCAATTCAATCCTATGACTCCAAATAAATCAGAAAATATCATGCCGGATCGGTCGGGGCCCGGATTAACAACGACCGCGCTTCCTGCTGCCGTGTCACAGGGCAGAAGTGATAAATACGCTACTGAGACACACCAAACGAAAAACAACAAACAAAAACAGGCCGTGTGTGACCGGCCTCAAGCAGTTGTCCCCTGGGCTCTGCGGTCACGCAACCAACTTCCACGGTGTGGGCAGCCGGGAAGTAACAATCGCCCTCACAATCCGAAGTGCACGCGAAACCTCTCTAATCCTCACTCACCTTTGTCTTCATCTTCATCTCTATTATCTTGCCTTCCTTCTACTAATGCAACTCCTCTACTTAATGGCTCTTCACTTCCCCTTCACTCTGTGTGCACTGATAACGATGGAAGCCAAAAAGCCACCATCGATAGTCTCAGTGGCGCAGATGCATCCACTCCTTGTGACTTATGATTTCCAATTAAACTGTTTTGTTCTCCGTTATTACTATTCCTTTGTCTCACACCTCTGTTTACTGTCTATACTATGCATTTCTCCTACTTTCTTCTCTTGCTTTGTGTGCTACATGGAGTGTGGCGACTTGAACTGCCGCACATATGTGCAAAGTTCTATGTCGAAAACCGACCGACCATTCCCTTCAATCAAAACAACAACCACAAAACTTCCCTCTCAATTAAGTCAAACACTTTAGGTGAGAGTAGTATTTCGGCGCTGTAGTGGAACAAAATTCCATATTAGATTAGTTAATTTCATATAGCACACTACTACTCATTATTGGTAGCTGGATGATGTTTTGAGTTAAATTTGCTAATCATAATCATATCAATGTACTCAAAAGAATTAAAACATTGCTTTGTGGTCCTAATCAATACAATTTTCTATCAAGTAATTTTCATATATCCGGTACAGATGTTGCTTCACACAGATTGCACGTGTCTGATGCTGAATCGATGAATGCATTTCAACGGCCCAGAAGCAATGCCACTGTAATGTAATAAGTTTCATATGACCAGAGTGAATGAACGTAAAATTATTCCACTGGTGATGGAAACACGTTACTCATCGAATTTCTACCCATCGAATCAACACCAAACACGTGCAATCGGAACGACACAACGCCCATACCGGATACAAGGAAAGTTGCAGAAAGATGTGAAGTGACCTCATGAATTATCGCAATAACAGTCTACTGAAATAAAAATTTGTTTATCAATCATGATAGATTCTGTTTATGAATTCCTGAGATGAGTGGTAAACGAACATACCAAGGGTCCCTAGCAAATTCATCCATGGCAAGCACTCGTGATTGACTGTACCGAATACAATCAGATCATGCGCCTTAAATGAGGACCTAGTATCTACGATTCTACACTGTAATACCCTTAAGTTTCACAAATTTAAGAATTGTCTGATTGAATTATAGAAGTACTATTCGTGTTGCAACTGTAAGGCGACCATGAGAAGTATCCCTTACACAATGACATCGGATGATGTTCAGTTGAAGTTTTACATCCTGGCTGACATTAGGTGTCGGGAGTTCCTGCAAAATGTATGTGTGTATTTCACAGCAAGTGATTTGACAGTGAATCATTCGACTCCGTGGGACTGATGCAAACTGTAGTTGATCTTCCAGGTACACCTTGAAGAGAATATGCAGTTGGCTTTCAATAAACGACAGCTATAGACACCTGGATGAAAATTTCAGGCACCCTCTGGTGACAACAACTTCATTCCCAAACCTGGTTTTATCAGTGTGCGAAAAATTAAATCCCTATGAACAAATCTTCAAATAATGCAACGACAAAATTTATGTTTGTCACTTCATTCCCGTAAAATAAAATACTTCGGTGACTACGAAAATTAAATAGGTGTCCATTAAGTTGTTCAAAGATTACTGTGTAGGTACTCTTCCCTTCGTTCCGTTCGTACAAGATGGTGCCTGAACAGAGCATGGTTATGCTCTCACTTTTCACCGTCTGCCCACAGTTTCCGATTAAGCTTATTGTTCACTATAAGTTGACGCAGGGGGAAATTATGAATGAGTTAAGTTTTGAGTGCCTGATGAATTGCTCTTGTTCGACTGCTTATTGTTACCCAAGTCTGTGGTAGTTAGGTCAACGGCTCACTACTCACTTCACTTTGTCTTAAACTTTCCACAGAGTAAGGCATCGTCTCATTTCAGAAGTTCAAAAAGCAGTGAAGAGGCGTGGACATAATCTAAACACCCATATTTTGCAAACTGAGAGGCCAAATTCAACCAGGGGTTTCAGCTAATAGAAGATAACAGAGATTCTACACCGTGATAGGTGGCGTTTAGATAATTGTTGTCTACGATCGATAACGCACGATTCATGACAATGAAAGTATTCACTCTTGTCCTGATCGATTTATGAAACCAAAGTTGTAGCTTAAGGTCCATTGGGACTCATTTTAAGGTGACTTGTCAACGTTTACTGCTAGACCTTAGATGGACACTACTCAATTAAATGCTATCAAGTGGAGAATCAACTGAACCAGAGATTATCATCCGTTACTATATCCAGTGAAATCAGTTACGGAAGAAATATACCAGACGTGTCAAGTAAGGAAGTCGGAGTCAGGATCGTTAAACACTTTGATTCAGCAGTTTCAATCGGCAATGTAGTTTCTCGTCTCTCTGACAGAATGTACCAGCTGCTTCCAATAAAGTGGCCTGAGGAGACATATTGCGCATACATATGGCGGTTCTCTGGACTCCAAGCAATACTATGATGAAAGACAGTGGAATAGTACGAACTCATCCTGCTGCATCGAAATTCGAAAGGTTCGACATCTATGAGGTCGTCAGTGGAATTCAGACCACAAGTAGACGTCAACTTCTCTTGAATCCTAGAGCTCCCAGTAATGACAATCGGTCTAGATTCTAAACTCACCAACCATGAGCTGCTCACTGGTTGACCATAACTATCAACGGGCAACGGAACGAAGAATTGGTCGTCATTCGACACTGATGGCGACCTTAGTGAAGCGCTTACAATTTAACATTTATACGGACCTGTTCTGATTGCTTGTACAATAATCCAGCAATTTAAACTTTTTAAGAAGTATTAGCTTATGATACTTCAGGATTGTAATTTATAACATATAATCAACTTGAAATGATTATGAAAAATATATATTAGTGCTACATCCATATGTGGTTGAGAGCTATTTCAGAAAGAGAAAAATGCCCTGTGAGATTGCAAAACGGTTTAAAACCCAACAGGGGATAGCACACCATTGGTAGCGCGTTTACAGGATATATCGAAGAAGTAGCTACAGATTCCTTGAGATGATAGTTTACATTCGCAATTTATAACGCTCTCCATATTGGCCTAACCCTGGAAACTACGACATTTTCGATCGAAATATAGCTTTCCTCAAACGCTGGTGTTGTTTTATGGTCTTTAAATCTAAACGATTATTGTTTTTTATATTTAGGTTCTAACCTCATATCCAGTTCTCCAGCTGTCAAGGTACATGCAGCTGTCCCACAGATTTGAGCGATTTGTTCTTGCGAGAACCACCAAATCTTCTGATCGGTATGTGCCATCCTCCTTCTTTTTTGTTGTTAAGTTTTGAGATTTTCGCAATTACCGTAGTTTTAGCAGTACATTTCTTTTAGCCCGTCCCACTCATACAGTACACTGCACATTAATAGCCTTGATTACAAGGGCTTCCCATTAGGTCACCAGACACGTAGGTACATGAGGACATTCGTAGAACTATTTTTGCTTATATATGCATGCGTGTGTATAAGTAGGTTCCTACGAACGACTAAGGAACCAAATTTCCTTTTAAAATTATAAACTATCGAAGTATTCATCACTGTAGCAATTTGAATTTGTAGTCTATTTAGCAGAGTGAAATGAGTAGTGAAGCAATTGGTGATAAAGTTATGTGACAATTTCCTGAGGGTAACAACTTGTTAGCGTAGGCTGTTATGTGTTTTCATGTAGAGGGCGAAAACACTTGGAAGTCCAGCAGCCTACAGCTTCAATAACATTCACCGTCGGCTATTCAACACCATTATTTCAGTGGATTCTTGAGAGAGAATTTCAAAGAGACTATTAAGTTAGAATGCTTGAATAACTTCGAGCTTGCTTCCCAACGAACTGGACTAGATATAGCTTTCACAGTTGTTGTGTGGCCACCTACAGTGCCGGATCTGAACTCTAGCCACACTAACTGCTGACTATTTGGCCTATCCTACCTGAGCCGTTCGCCAGATCACTCTCAGCACCACGCCAATTAGAAGAGATAGGATATAATCCCTAGTATTTGATTCGACAAAGTAAGGAAAGTTACCATGCGTAGGCGGATCTTGTGGAATTTCCAACATTAGCTTGGGTACTGAGAATCTGGTTTCTTATATCAAATATAGGCCCGTCTTTATGAACGGGTACAATTTAAGAATTTTCTAGATTGTTAAATATTTTCCATCGTTTGTGAAATTGAATATAACTTGAGTAGGAGTAAATTCATGTGGTTACCCCCGTTTTTCAGCAGAACAGAAGATATATACTGTCTCGACCAATAGTGTTACTAAGTTTGAAATTCGCAATAGCTTTATCGACCCTTGTGTGATGAAATGTATGTCATTTAGACTTTCGTCTGTTACTTGTGAGAAATCCACAACCTGACCGCTCTACACAGTGCACAGCTTAGCGAAATGTGAACTAAACAGTTCGTATACCGCTCCGGCACTTTGGTGAGCAATACTGTCGAAGTATATAATTTTTGTATAGGCTATTTTGAAGTATTTTAAACTACTTATGAAAAGTTTGGCTATTTCTCTCGTGTTATGAGGCAGTTGAATGGTCCGCGTTTCTTTAAACCTAAAGGTCATATATTCTGACTATTGTAATCTAGTGATTAAAGACGTATTAGCAGTCAATGATCATAAGTAGTGGTATCTGTTTTACTTTATGGAGTGCTTTCATAGACTTCTCACTAACGGTGTTGGAACGTGATCGATTTAGGGGTGTATCAGTAGGTAATTCCCCAGAATTATTGGCCACAACATTGATCACTGAACATGGGATGCTGACCGTCGCTGTTTGAGTCAACTTGTTTAGCTGAAGGCTTCTGGTCAAGCATCCACGCAATTCGGTACGCTGTCGTGTCATGTTCGTCCGTTCGTGGACGATCCCTAGCTAGTCAAGCATTCATCTCGCACTCCGATTTTGTCTCGTAATTTCGACAATCAGTTCTGGTGTTTTGCTCTACCTTTGTTCTACGCGGAACGAAGACTATGGGAGTTGTACACATAAGATCTTGCGTTAGTATACTTCGTACTATCCGTGAACGTCAATACCTTTAGCCTCTTAAGGGGTATCTGAAGCCAAGAATCTTCTCAGGCACAATGACATCATGAAATGACTTAATATTGTGATAGAAATCGTTAAGAACTGCCTCTAAGTGCTTGTTGGAAAATTACGAGTTTCAATAAGAGCACCTAATTAAATGCTTATGATAGTTCAGTATAAGTGAAATGTCAGACTAAATCAGTGAACAGTTTGAAGGGATAAACATATCTTAGTTTTCTTGTGTGTGTGCGACAAGGAGAAATAAGAATGCTTTATTTCATAAGAATAAATTCTCCACTGGGGGTGTAAATATTTCAAGCAGAGTGTGCAGGTGCATGTGTATCTGGCTAGCTTCATCTTTGCGTACTGTTTCAAAAAAAGTGGTAAAAGAAAACACCACTATTTTATGTTCACTACCTGAAAATTTATTTTCTATATGTACGGTAGATGGCGCTGTCGTTTTTGAATATAATGCCCAGGATATCCTCAGACATCTGAACCTACCACACAGAGGTTCAATGTTGAAGCAATGATTGGATTTGATAAAATAGCCAGGAAGATTAGGTTTCCTAAGCAGGTAATTCACAAAATAGCCATTTTCCAGTTAAGGAGTAAGAAGCCCGTCGTTTTTAGATTCAAATTTATTCGTTGAGGATAGAAGGCTTGGAGCCCATGTTAATCCTTTTCTAGTAAATTTCTGTGGTTGTCCAAACCCTTCTTGAACGAATCAGTTGAGGTTGCAGACACCACTTCTTCTGAGAGTCGGTTCCAAGAGTTTATGACTCTGTGTGAGAACCAGTACTCAACAGCAATATGATTTCTTCTTGGCTTTTGAACTCTCCTGCTATGTCCTCTAAGGTGTTCCGACCTGGTGGGAAGGAAAAGGGAGAATAGGTCAGGTCCGTAGTCATTATTTAAAATTTTAAACATTGATTAAATCTCCTCTCTGCCTACGGTATGACAAGGAGAAGAGATTTAAACTGTCTAGTCTTTCCTCGTATGATAAATTAG